GCCCCCAATGTCCTCAATTTGCCCGTGACGGCCTCAAAGGAGCACCATCTCAACAGTGTACACGTGTGGAAAGCTGAGATGCTCCACGGGATGGAAAGCACCGTTGCAATATAACATTCCCCTCAGTGACAAAATATTCACAGACTCGTGTTGCTACAATCTCACTGTTCATAATACTAGGTTGAAATAAGGCACACATGTACACAGACTATCCATTGAGCTAATTGGATTCAAAATGGGGGCCAAGCCGCAAAAAGGCCAAGAGTTTCTTGGCCACCTTCATCTGAATTTTTTTTTCATGGTTCACACAAGGAAAAAAAAAAAGAGTCAAGCATTCACTTTAAGCACACGGTGCTTATAGGTTAGGCTGTTTTAGAGTCACCTTAACCTTGAACAATATTGGAGTTACAGCCAAGAACAGCCAGAACAGGTCCGTTTGCTGTGATACTGATGCGGTGAGGAAAATTCCGGTGCTGCTGTCTCTTCGTTACCGGCACGTGATTTTGCGTGGGTCACAAAGGTGTGTTAGCTCAGGCACCATCATTCTATTTATTTCTTCATCTTTTTTTTTTCTTCAGTCTATACATTTCAGAATGAATAATATAGAAGTTAGTTTCTCGCCCCTACACAGTAGAGTAAATAAAACCTCCTTTTATATGGAGTTAGACTGTGAAATATATATATATATATATATCTTTTTATATTTACATAGGTGTATATATAAATTAATTTACATTTGATCTATTCCTCTTGAGGTATCCATTCGGGTCAACCGGGTTTGCCATTTAAGTTCGTGAGAGCCAGTTTTCGCGTTCTTCGTTGGTGGTCTTGCTTGGGCTCGGGGGGGACACGGGTCAGTCCGCCTGCCCGGAGCCGATCCATTATAAGTGGTGACCTGCGATGTTGCTCCGCTTATGTGCCTCGGAAAGTGCTGCCCACCTACCAGACGGTGGGGCTTACACCTCAGTATCCAGGCACATAGAGGACTGCAGGCCACTGAGGTGTCATCATATGGAGGACATTTGCTCTGCTCCCAGTAAAGGGGACTGCAGGCCTCGGAGGTGTCATCATATGGAGGACATCTGCTCCCAGTAAAGGGGACTGCAGGCCACTCATCATATGGAGGACATCTGCTCCCGGTAAAGGGGACTGCAGGTCACTGAGATGTCTTCATATGGAGGACATCTGCTCCCAGTAAAGGGGACTGCAGGCCACTGGCATGTCATCATATGGAGGACATCTGCCCCCAGTAAAGGGGACTGCAGGCCACTGAGGTGTCATCATATGGAGGACATCTGCTCCCAGTAAAGGCTTTCAACGCTAGGTAGAATACTTTAAGCCATCTGCCATCAAAATGCTTTCCACAGGTTCTCCACCGTAAAAAAACAACAAAGCAGTTCAAGTAGGTGTGGGGTGGCATAGGTTTGTTCATGGTTTCCCAACACACTCTAGTCCTTTCACGCAACACTCATATTTGCTGGAGATGACGTGACGGTAGATATCAGTTCTATGTTGTTGCGATTCAAGGAAGTTTCAGAACACCAAGGCAAAGTTCACAGCATCATTTTTTCACATTTTTGTCAACTGAGTTTAGAGACGTCTTAAGTGTCCTTTTGGTTGGTAGAGCAGCCAAATACGTGTATTAATACTGAAACTGGTTTGCATCCTTTATGGGGGAGGATGGGAGAAACACAGGGGCGGATGATACTTCCGGTCTCAAGGACAAGGTCCTTTTCACCATACCCCTCTGCATTGGTGTTTGCTCTGTGTAGCTATGCTGGCGGGAGATATAGACATTGTGGCTATCCATCGGCACTGGGGTGCCTGTTGAGTGCATCCTTGTGAGAAGTGGTGGAGGATGTTGTCTGGTTCCTTGACCAAGGCTATGTTGCCTGGAAACCAGTGGTCCTGGGCCTATGTTCATAAGTTTGTGCCCAGAGGATAGGGAATGTCTTTGAGAGGGGTGCCTTGACTGTTTCTCAACACAGGATTGAGGATTGACATCTGGTGGGATGTCCAATCTTCTGGGCAGACTGTCTCTCGGAAGAGTTGAGGAGCTGTAATAAGGTGCGCTTTCGGTGTCGGGAATTTGGGGCTGGACCCTGTTCATGAATGACAAGGATGAATGAGGGCTGATAGCTTGAGGGCTGATAGCCATCATACCGGACATTTTTCTCGGTGAGCCCCCACCTTCTGGGAGATGTTTGAGAAGTTCATCTAGAGTTGTCACCTCAACCCCTTTGGGAAGATAGCACTGTGAATGACGAATCAGAGCCCTTTCGGAGTTGGGTATCTTCTTATCATCTGCATAGCTAGAAAGAGGCTGATCGTACCCATGCATGCTGCTCGGGAAGGCAACGGTGCTAGGGAACTGAAAGACCTGGGAATTTGAGACGGGAAAATGAAAAACCGGACTCTTGCTTTGGATTTCTTTGGCGTTATTACAGTTCTGATTTCTTTCCCATTGGTTTTTGAAGGCTTTCAGATTCTTCATTGGCAACTCTGGAGTGGATTCCGGGGTGGGGAGCCCGGATAATTCAGGATGGTCTTTTGATCCGGTTTTGGTTGTTTCCGCTTGCTGCTCTTTGTCTCCATGCAGTAGGGTGGTGTAGAGCTTTGGTGAGGTTGCTTCCATTCCTTCCTTTGACTGGGTGTCTAAAAGTCCATTCATCTTTGCCAGGCTCCTCAGGGATAGAGGTCGTTGTAGATTGGATTCTGGATCCTTGCCAATGTGCTTGTTCTTCTGAAACATGTGGTTGCAGTAGCAGGACACAAAAAGGCCCGAAAAGATGGCTCCTATCACGAAGGCTACGAAGACGCATCCAATGAGGAACGTGAAATGAACCGTCTTGGTGGACTCGTTGCCCGCAGCTTCCTGCCGCACACCTTTTGAAGGAAACAGAAAGCCAAGGTCAGAATAACTTATCAATATATATCAATCCTGGTTCTGTTTTCAAATCATATAACATCAGTTAGATTAATAGTGACTTGGCACCCAATTCTACCTTCTGGTTTCTCCTGCTTAAAGCAGACCGTGCATTCAAATTCACCTTTCACCCCCCCAACACCGGAAGGTGATAACAAAGACCTTCCGGCAAAAGAGCCTGGCAATGCCGATGAATCCAAAATCTGGCAGGAAGACACACCAGCACAGTGCAAAAACATCATCTTGCAAGATTGGGATCCAAAACTTTTCCAGGACCTCCCACCGGAAGTCACCCTTGCCTAGGCGCCAGGGGCGGAAGCTGAGTAAGGGAAGTATATTTTCCAACTTTTCTCTGCTGTTGTTTTGGATTGATTGTGGAAGAGCTATCTCCTCTATCTGGTTTTACTGATGTTGGTGGTCCCATTGGTGGATTGTTCCTCATACTTCACTTCAGGAAGTAAGGAACCCTAACCAACAGTAGGGTAGCTAATATTGTCTACTATGTCCATTATACTACCGTGTTTCCCGCGAAAATAAGACCTACCCAGAAAGTAAGACCTAGCACTATTTTTGAAACATTCCTGTAATATAAGACCTACCCCGAAAATAAGACCTAGTTTGGGGGTGGCCCAGAGAGCCACCAGAGTACATGGCGGGGGCTAACCACTGCGCCGCAGCTCCCGCATGCCGCCCCTGTCACGAAATCAGCAGACACCTGTCTGCCTTGGCCTTTGCCTAGAGAGCTGCCGCCGGGCAGAAAGCTACATTTCCCAGCAGGCAGCAGCAAGGAACGTATGGCAAGTGGGCTCGGGGTGAGGTGACTGAGCCTCAGTCACTGAGGGAACTTCTGACTGGAGGTCCGTGCAGTTCAGCCTGGCGACGAGATAGGTGGCTCCCTGGCGGGGATCCCGCAGAGAACTTTGGACGGCATCAGGGAAGAGAGCTCCAGGACAGCTGCAGCCTGCAGGTATTGTGGCACTGTGTGTGAAAGTATTTAAAATAAGACATCCCCCGAAAATAAGACCTAGTGTGTTTTTTTTGGGTGGTCAAAAAAAATATAAGACAGTGCCTTATTTTCAGGGAAACACGGTCTGTATATTCCAAGGTGGAAACGCACCTACTAGACCAGCACCTGAGGAGTCCTGATGGCGGCTAAGGAATTGGAGCGGTAATATTTCTTTTGGTTCTACATTGTCTACTATGTGTTTTTGGTCAGAGATGACTTTTTTTCCGAGCACTAGGACGTCTAACCCATGAAAATTCTTTCTACGGAAACTGTATCTAAGGTTTGACACTGGTCCCAAAGCCCCAAAACATCTGCTATGTCCATGTATTATCATGGAAGCCATGTTTTTATTACGCTACATGTATTGGGTCTCGTGTCTAAAAGAGAGAAAAACAATTGATCAGTAAGTCAACCCAAAAAAAATCTTTCCTTTTGTTTTCCTGGCTGCAGTGGAGAAATGACGGGTAACATTTGATTGGTTGGCACGGGCAATGTACTTTTACTTAAAATGCGAACCCCGCGCGTCTTCCTCCTCCCAGGTACTGTTTTTAAAAAAGCTGCCGGGGATGCGTTTCCCCTTGACGACACAGCTAAGTGTTTGTTCCCAAATTCCTGGCACAAATTCAAGGTTGTTTACCGAGAAAGATTTCGGCTTTCGGAGTTTGTTTGGTATGAAAATAAGTGTTCATCTTATTCTCTGGAGGACGCGGCTCAAGCTTGAGGAAGAGACGGGAACGGGAGAGAGCAGCTGTGCTTAAAGCGCGTCTACCACCTACGCACTGTTCAGGCGGCCATTTTGTTTACTCACCTACCACTCCTTAAAGAGAAGTACATTTTTGTCTTTTACTGTGTGGGGTCTGAACAGAAGTTTTGCAATATATAATGGAAAACCTCTTGAGCGCTCCCAGCATTGATCTCTGTGATATTAGGATGTGCGTGTTGTTCTGTAGACCAGGAAATCTCAATTTCAAAGTATGCCTGGGGACAGTCATGGTGGAACAGAAAGCGGTCTTCACCACACTGGTCACAGGATACTATGATCTTGGTTACCACCAAGGAAACAATGATCTTGGGTACCACCAAAGAAACAATGATCTTGGTTACCACCAAGGAAACTATGATCTTGGGTACCACCAAAGAAACAATGATCTTGGTTACCACCAAGGAAACAATGATCTTGGTTACCACCAAGGAAACAATGATCTTGGTTACCACCAAGGAAACAATGATCTTGGTTACCACCAAGGAAACAATGATCTTGGTTACCACAAAGGACCACCATGTCCAGAGGGTAAATCTCCATGGCTAGACATCAGTAGAAACAACCCTTCCCCAATCAAAACTGAAAAAGATAAAGCGTTGACTTTAGATATATTTCAGGTTTTGGGTGGACTTGACCTTCAGCATTAAATTTAAGCGCCAGAAAAACCCAACTCTTCTCGAAAAAAGGTTTCTGAACTTGAGCACTCAATTAAGCTTTTGAGTCATCTTGGTGTCCCGCTAGATGACTTATTAGAAAAGCCGTGACTTTTTTTCTTTTTGGTTTAATAAAGGCCGCAGACGTTACTCTTCCTCCGAACATCCTGGCTGACAAAATTAGCATTTTCCATAAGAACAGAAGAATATTTGAAAAGAGAAATGAGAGGCTTCCACCACCGGCAAAGCTTTCCGAGGGGCGACTTCAGCTCCCCTCCGCGGGGTTTTTTTTTCTAATGCCGGCTAATGTAACCCGGGCCCCCCCTCTCCCTAGCCGAGGGCCTCCAGACGATTTTTTAATTCCGCCCGGAGAAGATTCATTTGAGAGCCCCGTGCGCCGCTAATCCAGTGAAAGGCGGGAGCCAATCAAATCGGAGTGCGCTCAGCTGCCGAGCGGTAATGAGCTATTCGCTTCAAAGATGGGACAGCAGGTACAGCAATCACATAAACTAATAGAAGACTATTATAATTACACACGCGCACTTACAATTCGGCGTAAATGGGCTTTGATTATATTTATTTCGCTGCCGGAGGAGAGCCAGGGGGTGGGCGGTAACTCTCAAAAACTTTTGTTGTTCTTTTTTTGCATTTTGTAGCCGGATCTATTTTTCTTTGCAAAACGCTTTTTTTGTAGAACAGACGCGCGGATGATTGGGCTGAAATAACTAGCCGGAGACGGCAGAGCCTCCTTACGCTTGTTTTTAAGCATCTGCTGCGTCGCCTCGTAATTCTGGGGTTTTGCAGGACGGCAATAAAATGCAAAAAGTTGTGCTAAAAAAAAAGCTTTTTGATATTTTTTGTTACGTTCTATCTCATGCCATCCCTACTTTATTGACATCCTTTGCTGTCTGCAGGTAACAAGATAAAACGTCTCCAATTTGCGCAGGAACACAAGGATTGGACAGTCGAGCATTGGAAAAAAGTCATGTGGTCCGATGAATCGCGTTTCCAGTTGCATCATGCAGATGGCAGAGTGAGAATTTGGCGGGAACAGCATGAAAGCATGCAACCCACATGCATGAGTACAACCCTTCAAGCTGGTGGGGGCAGTGTTATGGTTTTTCTGGCATGATTTGGGCCCTTTAATTCGTGTGGAACAACTTCTGAATAGCACAACAGACCAAAGTATCGTTGCTGATCAAGTTCATCCGATCATGGTCATGGCGTATCCCAATGGAGACGGCTTCTTCCAACAAGACAATGCGCCATGCCGCGGTGCTCGTATTGTGCAGGATTGTTGGTTACCACCAAGGAAACAATGATGTTGGTTACCACCAAGGAAACGATGATCTTGGTTACCACCAAGGAAACAATGATCTTGGTTACCACCAAGGAAACAATGATGTTGGTTACCACCAAGGAAACAATGATCTTGGTTACCATAGAGCCATAAAAGTATATTACTAAAGCTGAGGCTCCCGAATGGCATTCAAAGATCCGAATTTCCAAATTGCATTGGGGTCTGGGAGCTATGATCTCTGAACGCACTGTTCGCCGTACACTGCGTCGTATGGGATATGGAAGCCGAAGGTCTGTTCCAACACCTTTGCTGTCTGCAGGTAACAAGATAAAACGTCTCCAATTTGCGCAGGAACACAAGGATTGGACAGTCGAGCATTGGAAAAAAGTCATGTGGTCCGATGAATCGCGTTTCCAGTTGCATCATGCAGATGGCAGAGTGAGAATTTGGCGGGAACAGCATGAAAGCATGCAACCCACATGCATGAGTACAACCCTTCAAGCTGGTGGGGGCAGTGTTATGGTTTTTCTGGCATGATTTGGGCCCTTTAATTCGTGTGGAACAACTTCTGAATAGCACAACAGACCAAAGTATCGTTGCTGATCAAGTTCATCCGATCATGGTCATGGCGTATCCCAATGGAGACGGCTTCTTCCAACAAGACAATGCGCCATGCCGCGGTGCTCGTATTGTGCAGGATTGTTGGTTACCACCAAGGAAACAATGATGTTGGTTACCACCAAGGAAACGATGATCTTGGTTACCACCAAGGAAACAATGATCTTGGTTACCACCAAGGAAACAATGATGTTGGTTACCACCAAGGAAACAATGATGTTGGTTACCACCAAGGAAACAATGATCTTGGTTACCACCAAGGAAACAATGATGTTGGTTACCACCAAGGAAACAATGATGTTGGTTACCACCAAGGAAACAATGATCTTGGTTACCATAGAGCCATAAAAGTATATTACTAAAGCTGAGGCTCCCGAATGGCATTCAAAGATCCGAATTTCCAAATTGCATTGGGGTCTGGGAGCCTCAGCTTTAGTAATAATATCTGTAGATGGTTTTCTGTGGTATTCGCAAAGAATATCCGTAAACTCATCCGAAACCAACAAAAATTTCGGATTTCATCCGAATCCGAAACCTGAACCGAAATTGCGGATCCGTATTCCAAAATAACCAAACCAAATTTTGCCTTTGGCATATCGGGATCATGACCCCTTTTGCAGGAGTCCCGTCCCTTGTGTCCAACTGATTATTTCGATGACACCCACTGATAAGATGTTGCACTGGAGGAAGAATGGGGAATGTTTTTTGATGGCCACCAAACAAGAGCAAAGAGAGATAGTTTATATATTCCCTAAACTGTAAGAGCCGTGTGACTCCTCTAAACATCCGCCATACCCCCATAAGCTTACATTAACCACAAATGTCCTCAAAGAGGGCAAAAAATTAAAGGAGAACTATGAGGGGAGTGATTTCCTCTCAGCCTCATAGTTCTAGCCGACCTGTGACAATGAGACTGTCACAGGTCGGCTCAGTAGATCGGGAAGTGAGGGAACACATACCAGCGCTCGCTCACCTCTCGATCATCTCCCTGCAGAGAGCCGTGACTGTCACTCACGTCTCGCTGCAGGGATTTCCCCTCCAGCGCTGACTGGCGGGACGGGCGGGGAGGTTACAGCTGGCTCTGCCTCTAGATAGGCAGAGCCAGCTGTCAATCACGCAGCTGGGCGGATCTCGTCAGTAAGGTCCGGATCTGTCCAGGCTGCGGCGCTCCCAGTATACCGCGAGCTGTAGCTCCCTATATACTGAGCTTAAGGTGACGGGAGGACGCAAGTTTATGTCCTCCCGTGACCCTGAGGAAGAACTATGGGGGAAAACACTGACCTCATAGTTCTCCTTTAAAGAAACAAATCAGCTTTTACCATTTGAAGTTCAATGCTGACCCTCCGTATACTACTGCTGCCCTGAGTGCTGTCCTACGAGTGGCCTTACGGTAAACACGACCCTGATAACCATGGCCAATATTCGGTAAACACGACCCTGATAACCATGGCCAACATTCGGTAAACACGACCCTGATTACTATGGCCAATATTCGGTAAACACGACCCTGATTACTATGGCCAACATTCGGTAAACACGACCCTGATTACTATGGCCAACATTCGGTAAACACCACCCCGATTACTATGGCCAATATTCATAATTCTTTTGTACTGGTTCCTATTTCCTGGATGCAGATGATTTGCTAGGTGCTGGTTTTCGGTATTTAGAAACCAGACCAATCTAGCAGACAATTAGTCAACTGTAGATGACTTGGATTGAATGGACTTCCAAGCAGTAAATTTTCCCAGCAGGGCCGAGCCTATGAATTCGCCGAGAATCAATAGTCTCATTGACGTACAAAGTGGCCGAGCAATTGTTCAATGGGATGACACTAATCTGCTTGCTAATGAATGGCTGCTTTCTAATTATATGTTGGACTTGGTTCTTCTCACTATCTGAGGCAGCTTCCAGAGGGATCTCCGTTGATTGAATACAGTATATACACTACACGGCCACCTGGACATAAGCTTGTGGACATCAAACCTATATGAACGTGTTGGATATCCCATTCTAAAACCATGGCCATTAGTATGAAGTCCCCCCCATC